ATTTGTCCTAAAAATTTGTTTTTTTTTGGTCTTTTTTTGGTTTTTTTCCCCCCCCCCCCCCCCTCTCAATAATCATGGGACACATTTGGCATGTAAGACGAAAAAAAATGTGCAGAAAACCCCTTATGTAAGGTAAAAAAGAGTTTTTTTTTTTTTTTTTAAATAATTTGACAGGAGAAAAATATGAAGGAAAGTAATGAAGTATATATTATTAATTCTTAGTCAGCTCTATTAATTTTCAGTTTCATTGCAATTTTTTTACAGTTATTTTCTTGGAGTGTCCGTAAACCAATGATGTGTATTCAAAAGGGAATTCTGTATTTCTCAAGAAACATGATTTATTTTGCTGATTTTTGACAATTATATTGTCACAGTTAATTTTCATTGAATATTTTTATTTATCTTTTAAAAATAATTTTGATTGACATGGAAAATATTGTCTAGAAAATAAAATATTTTTCATCTTTTGTGGAAAATAAAAACCATCTCTACCCAAGGAAAATATTTTCCTTAAAAACAAGGAAAATTAGGCATATTTTCAAAAGTTGAAAAATGTTTTCCATGGAAAAAAATAGCAATCAAACACTCCAAGTGAAAATTTGGATGGAAAACTAATATTTTCCATAGAAAATAAATGTAATCAAATACACCCTTAGTTATTTTCTATCTGATAAGTAGTTATCTAATACAATATAAATTAGTCATTTATTGTTACCGTACTTTATATAATAAATAGTTATGTAACGAATTTCAATTTTATCTATACAATAATTCTTTTGTATTGTAGTGCTTATAGATTATATGATATGATACGCTACTGATGACAAAAAATACACGTTACGTTTTCAAATCTTTAGACTGTACCAAACTCTATGCTTCCTACTTTTCACAAATAAAGTTTATACATTGAAAATCAAATTAAACTTCCACAAACCCTGTTAGTTAAACATTATTTCAAATCCGCACAAAATCTTTTCCTCCTCTCTTTCTTATTGGTTTAATTTTCTTGCGTGGAGTGACCTATCCCCTATCAAAATCTCAACATCTCACTACAATTTTAAAATATCATTAGATGTTACCTCTAAATTTCGACACCTCAAAATTGTAATTAAGTATCAAAAATTGATTGGAGAAACAGCCAAATCGACAGCAAAAATGGAATAACTCATTGAATGGATGGACCTAAAGAAAAATAAATAGATGCGAGTCTTTAAATTGTAGAACCATATACCAAACACTGAAATTAATGCAATAATAATAATAATAATAATAATCTTCAGATTTTGGGTTTTATTCAAATTTAGCAACAACATCAAAACTGGTCAACTTGACCGTGTCCACGCCACCCCCACCCAAGTTATAGTTACAAAGTGTTGTATCTCTCTTCCACCAGGACCACCACAGAACAATATCAACAAAAAAACATCAACCCAGAAAGCTAAAATCACTTATTTTAATAAGAGAACAACATATAAGTTAAATTTTTCATTAACTATTCATAAATAAGTTTGCAAGTATATATGTGCAATTGTTCCAAGTTTTGGGTTTCGTCCATCTGCAGGCGCAAATACTCAACTACATTTTCTTACCTTTGACTAGCCGAAATCTGTTGTTTCTTTAAACTCTTACAATACTTTTTTTGGGTCATTAATTTCCTCAAAACATGTTTCAATAATTTCTCCATAAAACTCTGAGTTTCGAGAAAAAAGAAGATCAGATTTTGTCAATCATGTCAGAAGAGGAAGCTGACAAATTTTTTTGCTTTGCTTTGTTTAATCTACTGATCCTCATTACTGGTACTAATCATATTCTTGATTTATGAAAAATTTTCGGGTTTTTCTCAATTTTTATTTTTATTTTTTACGATTTCCGAGGATGATCCTATGAGTTGACTTGCTTTTGTTGTGTCTGAATCACAGGGAAGCTTGCGGTTGGAGACTCATTAGAGACAGACAGGCAGGTATTGCTTCAACTGAGGTCACTTCTGTCAGAACAAAATCCAGTTAATCAAGGAAGATATACACAATGGAATCCACGGGATGACTCACCCTGCGACTGGCCCGGGATTATGTGCGATAACCTCGAGAATCGTGTCACCAGGGTCGACCTTTCGGGCTGCAAGATGTCGGGTAACATATCTACTAACTTTTCTGCCTTGAAACAACTTTCTTACCTCGACCTGTCGCAAAATACCATTGGAGGGATCGGACTAGAAGATTTAGCCCGGTGTGTGAACCTTAAGTTCCTGAATTTGTCACATAATATTATCACTGGAGAGTTCAACTTGACAGGGCTCAGCAGCCTGGAGATTCTTGATCTATCCCTTAATAGAATTATTGGTCATATTGAACTAGCAATTCCTCAAAATTGCCAAAATTTGAAAGTGGTGAATATTTCTTCAAACAATTTAACTGGCGAAGTTGGAAGCATCTTCAAAAAGTGCTGGAATCTGAAGTATCTCGATCTCAGCTCGAATAATTTGACTGGAGATATATGGCGTGGTTCTGATAGACTCGAGGAATTTTCAGTGGCACAGAACAATTTCTCTGGCAAAGTTCCCTCGGGGATTTTCACTCGGAATTGTAGTTTACGGAGTTTTGATTTGTCTGAAAATCATTTCTTTGGAGAATTTCCTGCAGAAATTTTCAGGTGCAAAGATTTAGAAGTTTTAACATTGCGGGAGAACAATTTTACAGGGCTAATTCCTGAAGAGATTGGATCGCTATCTAGTCTGGTGGCACTTTACTTGGGGAATAACAATTTTAGCAGGGAAATTCCAGAGTCTTTAACAAATCTTAGTAGCTTGGTTTTTCTTGATTTAAGCAGAAACAACTTTGGAGGAGCTATACAAGATATTTTTGGGCGATTGGTGCAGGTGAAATTTCTCTTGTTGCATGTAAATTCATACACTGGAGGGCTATATTCTTCAAGAATTCTCCAACTGCCTAACATTACACGGTTGGACTTGAGTTTCAACAATTTCTCTGGTCCATTGCCTGTTGAAATTTCCAGGATGACAAGCTTGAGGTTTCTCGTTCTTGCCCACAATCACTTCACAGGAAATATACCTTCAGAATATGGAAATCTCAAAGGGCTTCAAGCCCTAGATCTTTCCTTCAATCAGTTAAACGGGCCAATACCAAAAAGCTTGGGAAATTTAACCTCGCTTTTGTGGTTAATGTTTGCTAATAATTCATTGACAGGTGAAATCCCTTCAGAACTGGGAAATTGCAGCAGCCTTTTGTGGTTGAACCTGGCAAACAATCAACTTTCAGGGAAAATCCCACCTGAATTAACAAACATTGGCAAGAATGTGACTCCTACTTTCCTTAAAAACAGGCAAAATGATAAGATCACAGCTGGATCCGGGGAATGTTTGACAATGATGAGGTGGATACCAGCAGATTATCCCCCGTTTAGCTTTATATATAAACTCCTTACAAAGAAAAAATGCCGAAGCCTTTGGGACCAGATTCTTAAAGGATATGGTCTACTTTCAGTGTGCTTACCGGGAACAAATATTCGGACTCTTCAGATATCTGGCTACGTCCAACTTAGCGGTAATCAGCTATCTGGTGAGGTCCCTCTCGAGATTGGAAACATGCTGAATTTTAGTATGGTGAATTTGGCATGCAATCAATTATATGGTAAATTCCCTCCCAAGATAGGACGTTTGCCACTAATAGTCCTTAACGTTTCGCAGAACAATTTTTCTGGCGAAATTCCATGGCAAATTGGCAACCTCAAGTGTCTGCAGAATCTGGATTTGTCATATAACAACTTCTCAGGTTCATTTCCTATTAGCTTGAATAACTTGAATGATTTGAGCAAGTTTAATGTCTCCTACAACCCGTACGTTTCTGGCGTAATACCAACAACTGGACAGTTGTCAACTTTTGAGAAATGGTCGTTCCTCGGGGATCCACTTTTACACCTTCCTTCTTTCATTAATAACACAACTAACAACAATTCAGGAAACAAGAATGGAAAGGCTAAAAGGACGACAGAGCTAGGTGCTACTCTGGTGGTTCTTGCTTTGATACTCACTTTTTTAGTATGTGGGCTTGTGTCTGTCATAGTCTGCCTCTTGGTCAAAAGTCCAGTAGACGCACCGGGATATCTACTGAAGGACTTGAAGGCTCAGCTCGAATTTGCAGCAAGCTCGGATGCATCTTCTCCATGGTTATCAGGCATGGTTAAGGTTATCCGATTGGATAGAACAACCTTCACACATGATGACATTTTGAAGGCTACTTGGAGCTTTTCAGAGAACAGAATTATTGGCAGAGGAGGATCAGGAACAGTTTATCGAGGAGTCTTGCCTGATGGCAGGCAAGTGGCAGTGAAGAAACTACAAAGAGAGGGACTTGAAGGGGAAAGAGAATTCCGGGCTGAAATGGAGGTATTAAGTGGGAATGGCTTCGGTTGGCCTCATCCGAACCTTGTGAAACTCTATGGATGGTGCCTTGATGGATCAGAAAAACTTTTGGTTTATGAGTACATGGAAGGTGGGAGTTTAGAGGATCTTATTACTGACAGAATACACCTCAACTGGAGAAGGCGTATCGATGTGGCAGTAGATGTAGCAAGCGCATTAGTCTACCTACACCATGAATGCTTCCCGAGTATAGTCCATAGGGACGTCAAGGCTAGCAATGTACTTCTTGACAAGACAGGAAAAGCCTGTGTTACAGATTTTGGACTTGCACGGGTGGTGGATGCTGGAGGCAGTCATGTTAGTACAATGGTTGCAGGAACAATTGGTTACGTTGCACCAGAATACGGTCAGACGTGGCAAGCCACGACAAAAGGGGACGTTTACAGCTATGGGGTGTTAGCAATGGAACTTGCAACAGGAAGACGGGCCGTGGATGGTGACGAGGAATGTTTAGTTGAATGGGGGAAAAGAGTTATGGGAGACGGACGACAAGGTTTTACTAGCAATGTAATCCCTGTAGCTCTACTGGTATCTGGCCAAGCAGAGGGTGAAAAATACATGTGTGAATTACTTCGTATCGGAATATTGTGCACGGCAGAAAAACCCCATTCTAGGCCTAATATGAAACAAGTTTTAGCCATGTTAATAAGGATTTCAGGCAGCCAAATGGATTGTTCTCCAGATAAGTGTCAATAATTTCATTAGCAGATCAGTTTTTACTCAAAAACGTATAAAAATATAGCAGTCCTCTGTTGTGATTCTTTCTGTAATTAGACAGACAAATTTACATTCTTAAACAAATCATACTTAATTTTGCTTGTAAATTTCATATTAGTACTCAGAACATAATTTTTGGTGAACCTTTCCCCTCTGTATCTTATGATCCAACAGACAGATACTTGGTGAAAATGTCCAATAAAATAAAATTAAGGTCGAAGTTAGGTGTCTTGTTCCATCCTGGCTAAACCAACATATCAAATGTCTTTATTATGTTCGTTTTCACATTTTCTTCAATTTCATCTCTTTTAATAAAGAAACCATTAAAACTGGAGCTTTTCTAACGGAAAGAATTTAAAGCAATTTTCTCTTCAACAATAGCATTGAATTTTACATCGGATAATTTAAACTGTCCATTAAAGTATTGAACTTTAAACTAAGGTAGAGCAAGAAAGTCCTAACTCCTAACTTATTTAATCAAATTGAAGTTAGTTTTTATTCTCAGGCTATAAGAGTCTACGTCCATAAAAATGTGAGATTCCACACAGCCTCTGGGTACCAAACTGCTTTCTATACATTGCAATTAAAATGTGGTGTGCAACAAATATTATGTTAGTATTTAAAAACGAAAGGCAAAAGAAGTAACAAGACCATAAAATGCCTCGGTGTTTTTGTACTCTCAATTTATACAAAAAATTTCCCTATATTCTCAACCTTTTACGTTCAAAATTCTCCCAGATGTCTCCATTGGATCATAAATCTTCATTGATTACAGTGATAGAAATATGGAATAGCCATTGGAGGCCACATTTTTCCCAATTTCAGTCTTCCCTTCATTTGGGGAAGCATAATTTTTAGTTCTGTACTCTGCTTTGCAATTTGCAGCTTCTCTTGTTTTCTTGTCCTTGAAATTGTTAATCTGTGTATTAAATATGTGTTCAATTCTTTTTTGACATGTTCAGTAAGTAGGGAGGATTAAATACATATTTCTTATTTCAAATCATAAGTCTTCATTTTTCTTTTGAAGGGATTCAACTGCAAGACGTATAGAATAAGATAAAATGGTATATCCATCGGTGGAGCAAGCCACTCAAAGAGAAGTAGCATATAGGAAGAAGGTTAAGGTAGATATGAACTTCACAAAAAGTCTTTCACCTTCAAATGAATTATTAATTTCTCTATTTTCTGCGTTCTTGTCAATAGACTCGAACTTGGTTCTCTTAGCACCATTTTTAGTACGTTTTAAACATTTTATGCACAAGTAATAGCATCACGGCCTTTCTTGATCCCAGATTCCCAATGATAGGGTGATTTTATTTGACATGTTGCAAAAATAATTCTGCTGTCGTGTTTTCATGGCCAGCGTTTGTTGCAATAAATACTATGTATTCTCCAATTGAATTGATTACAACTCAAGTCTGAATGTCGAGCAGTGACCATGGTTTATGCGATCTTTACTGTATTTGATAAGTTGTTATCTGTTATAAAACCTTGATGCTTTTAGTGAGACCATTAGAGTAAATTGTCCCTAGTCCACAACAAAGAAATATCAACTCCGTTGACATCACATGTTTCTATCTTGAGTGCTGTTGTCTTTTTGAAATTTATTAACTTCTCGTATTTGAAATTTTGTTGTGTTTCATCAAGGAAAGTTCATGCTTTTAGATACATTACTGATCAATTAATTGCTTGGTCAGGATATTATTTTGCTCTATTGTACATCGTGCAAGGCGCCATCTTCTGCAAGTGAAGTCAAGAAATCCCAACGTCCAAGTTTCAGTAATTGGGTACCAGGAGGTTCAAACTCAGCTGCAAGTCACAACCGGCAGCTTTTACCTCAAGTTGTTCCTGGCTCGTCATCCATCTATTGTGTTACTGATTTGTTGCTTTAGAATCACCATTTCATGTTTTTTAAGTAGCTTCTTCTTCATGCTATGTTTCATCTTCAAGATTCTCAAGTTCAGCTCCAAGGCCAGAAACTGGAACGGACCACGTTCAACATCAAATGCGAGTCTACACTGCTCTGTTCCAATATATCAGTCCCACTTTGATTGATTTTATTAGACTTCTTTGACACTGTCCTATTCCTATATTAATTACTTCAGAGTGATCCTTCAATTTTTTCAAAAACACTTTTTAATTGCTTCACATCTATTTTTTCATGCCTTTTAACCAGCTTACTCCTGATTTCAGGTGTTACCTTCAGCTGAAATCCCAATGCATCACAGTACATCTTCAACTTTGAGTCGATGCCCAAGACCCAATCTGATTTCGAGTACTAATGTGATTCAACCATATCAAATTTCAGTTAAAAAACAAGTTCCAAACTAGAATCCTGCCAAAGATCAAGCTTAAATGTTACACATACCCACTCCATCTTAAAGAGGAAAGCAACAGATTGTGATGTTAACATAACCAACAATTCAGTGAGGAATTTATATGGCAATCTATGTCAAGTAAACTGTTCTAGTGCATTAACTCTTCAACAGCAAGTAAAAGGTCGCTCTCAACTTGTTGCAACTAAACAAGAATGGTGAAGAACAGAGAGAATATGGTCAACCAAGATGTGAAGTCTACCAAATTTTGTGCATTTACAAAACTGCTCTGGACATGAACTCGAAAGGGAAGAAATGCAAAGCCAAACTGCATGAATTGGAACTTGTCTCGATTACCGGTGGGGAGAATGGAATGATGGTCCTGTGGAGTGAGATGTGGGATATTCCCTGCATGAACGAAGATTATTTTTAAGACGCACTTGAAGAGGAAAAAAACACATAGCTCGTGTTAATCTTGTTCATACGAAAATAAAATTTGAAACTTAGGAAAGAGCTAAAGATGAAGAGACTCATAAAGTATGTTAGGAAATTAGAATGATGCTACTGAAGGAGATTAATTCAAGAAATTATGGTATAAAATCTCTGTCACTTTATGTGAGTTTCTTTTAAACACTGAAATTACTATTTAGTAGACCTGTTATCTTGTATTTACTTGTTAAATATCAAGGATTAAGAACTCCATTACATGGACTTTCTTATTAGGATCTCTTTAATGCACTATCCATTCAATCAATTATTGACAAACCATTAACAATGTGATTCCTAAAATGAAAAAACTCAATTTTGCTCGTAAATTAGTAAATTCTATAAACTTCAATTGTTCACATGCTCATTCAACATGGTTTGAACCAGTGAAGGATCTTTCACCTTGAACACACCCTACACGATACACAGCATATGACTCTCAGTTGTATTTTGTTCTCCAAGTGTGACCAAATGGAATGGTATGTGATTTTATTATAAGAATTGAGAGATCAAATTGTATTGTATCACAAGTTTCATTTTCTACAAACCAATAAATTCAATTTCCTTCTAGTCCCCAAAATGACTACCCCTTTTATCAGATTTCAATTGTTTAAGCCAAATTGTCTTTACCATACATCTTGAAAAAGTAAAATGCAATGTTGAGTTTGTACATTCTTATTGTTTTAGTCTCAGAGAGTTACATAATAAAATTTGTTACGTGGTCTTATTCAATAGCTTCTAATTCAACTTGCCCAGTATGTTGTACATATTTCTCTTTAAAAGGCCTTTCTTTTTATGTAGAAACAGCTTTTTCCCAAAAAAAAATAAAAAATAAAAAAATTTTAAAATCAAATAAAATTCTCTTCAACAATAATATTGAGATTTATATTTAGATCAATCAAATAGAAGTTTCTATAAGGAGTATATAACTTTGAACAATTTTTTTATTCATTGTCAATTAATTTTAAGGTTATTTGTTGTGTCACCATTTTACTTTTAGATAGATATTTAATTGTTTTAGAGAATTATCCTACCAGTATAAACATAAACCCATTAGAGTAACCAACTCATCTAAGTAAATATATCTCAAGTATTTCAGAGAAGATGTATAGAGAAATAACCAGTAGGGTTGATTTCGAGAAGATGTCCATCATAATACATGTCCTTGTATCTTTTGGCGAGTTGGTAGGATCGACTAAAAGTTGATTATTATTATTATTATTTTTTTACAATTTGTCACTCTACATCGTTTTCTATTCTCATAACAATCTTATGTATTTTCATTTCCATATACTTGTGTAGTCTTCTATTCTCATTAATTGGATGAACTATAGCTCTTTGTAATCAGGCTGATTTTTTCTATCAAATACAGGACAAATGAACTGAAGTTCAGCTGTATTGGTTTATGAACAGAACAGTTGTTTTAACTTAATTTTCTTCACATTGATCTTAGGCAAGTTTAAATTATTTTTTCCAAATTTTACTGGTGTTATTCTCTCTGTAATTGCACAATTTTACAGAAGAAAACAGGATATATTGGATTCAGAAAACACAGAAATATCTGGATTTTTTCAATTCTCGATCAACATTTTATTAAGTTTAATTGCATCGTGGCAATTATTTGACTACAACAATATGTATTTCTTTTTCCAAATTATAACAGTCTCAATCTAAATATTTTTAGAAGGGATTCGAGTGAAAGAGATATGGATGAAGGGGAAAAGACAGATGCATCAGTTTGAAAGAGAATTAGCATATCGGAAGAAGGTTAAGGTAAATTATATCAAGTGCAATAAAAACATGTAATTATTTCTCTAGTTTTTGTGTTCTTGGCATTAGATGCATACTTGATTCTTCAAGCCCTGATTTTAGTATGTTTAGATAGAAAGAAAGGAGTAGCATCTATTATATCTCGATCTCAGTAATCGGAGGGATTTTTGATGGCTTATCGCACAAATAATCCCACCGTTCTGTTTTCATGTCCAACATTCGACCATTGTCATGCTAGGATTATGTTGGTTCAAGGTTGTCTGAATTGAAGTGCACATTTAACACATTTGAGATAGTATTGTTAATACACCATAATACAGTTTGCCTTAAATAGCATTTCAGATCTTTTAATTGTTTACTTTGTGATATGTATTCTTCTTAATGTGGTTTCAACACTATCTCCAGTAAATCGAGTAATATTAGATAAACATTACGTCTTATTCCGACAAACTCGATTCGACGCAATGCAGTTTTGACATACTAAATATTCTCTCTCTCTCGGGACATGGAGGGATGAATTACTGATCAATTAATTAATGAAGTCATTATTTTCTCTATTATACTTCATGCTA